GTTGATGAACCAGCGAAGCGCTCAAGCAAGAACCGCCCGAAAGGAACCATTGAAACCAAACCGGTGAGTGTGACGGCTGATGTATACCAAGCGATGATGTTTGATAAAGTACTTCCGGCGATCGCATTGAAGATGCCACGGACCCATCGCAGCATCCGCATCCAGCAAGACAACGCAAGTCCGCATCGATCTATGACTACCGAAGCCATTCAGCGGCGCTGTGACCCAAGATTCACGTCAATTGAAGTCAAGAACCAGCCACCAAATAGTCCTGACTACAATGTCTTAGATTTAGGATTTTTTAATGCTATTCAAAGTCTGCAGCATCAAAAGTCAACTCGAACTATTGATGAGATGATTGTTGCTGTAGAAAATGCTTTTGTTGAGATGCCGGTGGATACGCTTTCAAAAACATTTTTGACTCTGCAAAAGGTGATGGAGGAGTCAATGGCTAGAGGTGGGAGCAACAATTATAAACTTCCCCACATGAAAAAAGATAAATGTATCAAGAACTTCTCAACATACAACCTTGTTTGCGACCAAAATTGTTATGAAAGCGCCCTGGCAACACTCACAGCTCGAATTGAACAAGAAGAACACCTCGAAAGGATGATGGAAGCGAATAATTCTCAAGAATAATCGAAATCATCGTCATGTGTTTTTCATGCCAAAATAATATCAAGTTTCAAATACACCATACAAAATTTAAGTATGTTTTGAATTTGACGCGATATACAAACTCCGAGATAAAACTCCCCAAAAAACGAAATGCTGCAAACAATGTGGAACAGAGTAGTACAGGTACTACTGTAGTACAGTATTGTATCATGTACTCCTGAGTATTGCACTACCTTTCATTGGGCCAATCACATCGTTAGAAAATAGGTATTTTCATGCATCGCATTTGACTGTGAGCTGCTTCGAAGTCAATACTACGTAGTACCGTACTACGTAGTACTAGCTAGTACTTGTTGGTTGACGAACATACTACTACAGTAGTACCGTATGTTTGGGCAATAGGAAATCTCAGCGGCATTTCAATACAAACCACAAGTCAGGTAGACTTGAAATTTGGAGCTACTTTAGGTTTCATCCCACAACTTCATCCAATTTCATCCAATGTCATCCAAATTTCATCCACATGTCATCCATGCTTTTAATTCAATAATTATATTATATTAACCATAGTATCCAAGGTTGGTATTAATATTCAATGCTGTCCCGTAAGTCTTAAGTACTTCCCAAAATTTCATCAAAATTGGAGTAGTATTGATGAAGTTAAGAAAATTCGGGAGCCTTTTCGCCCAAACGTACGGTACGCCATCGTGCTAAAGCTTACGTGACGCTCGCGCTTCGGCTCTCAGTGACTACCACGCCACCAATACGTTGGAGCCTGCGCACAGGGTGGAGGTGCACTTCACCCATGACAATGCTTCTCTCGGCCGACAAGCTCAACAACATGGCCGCGTCCGGCAGGTCCAAACACTTCGTCCCGCTGACGTTCACTGACGCTCCTCGTCACGACCGCTAGTTCCATCAGGTCGCCGGACGCGACCAGCGCCCCGGCATCCACGTCGATGCTCCAACAACTCACGGCCACGTTGCGCGAGGCCCTGGTACAACAAGTGTCGATTTTGGTTGTCGTCTCGTCCGTGGTACGTTGTATATATATACCCGACACATTCCGTTGGATTGGATGTAGTAGCTGTGAATTATGTAACCTTTTTTGGGTTTCCTAAGCGTACGAATCGTACGCTTAGGAGGACGTACAGTAGTACGGGACGAACCCGGAACCTGGATACACTAACGTTACCACGATCACCACCGCGGCATATGCTCTCCACATAACGCATCCACACCACCCAACCTCCCTAACCAACTCCTGTGACCTCAACTTCTACTCTCGTAGCATGGCACGGCAACAGCTACCCTGCAATCACCACCATACAGCTCCACTGTCGAGATCAGGAGTAGACATAGTAATGAACCCCAGTCACGGCCTCCCCAGCAGTCACAACTACCGGGGAACAGTAGTTGTGACTTGACTATCGTTATTCTGGAGCGTGGTTGGTGGGGTGGTGGTGGTACTGACTAGCAGCCAAAGTGATTACCACCCACCACTACCACCCCACCCCTACGCTCCAGAATAATACCCAAAAACCCTACTAACGTTACCCCAGTGACTACGATTGCTGCACATGTGACCACCCCATCACTCCATTTTACTGTAAATGCAGTACTTGATCATTATGGAATCATGTGTGCTTGTGGAATTGTGTCAATCTCCAAGGTTACTGTAGTCATACGAGGCACGACTCATTGTATTTGTCCAAATCAAAACCATAACGATCATTGATTGGATAAAATAATGAAATAGGCAAGACGCGCTGCTTTCACTTCATAATCGAATTAACTTATCAGTTTAGACGAGGAACTTCACAGATAAATTTGTTACTACCTCTGTTCGGAAATAAATCAAACAATCAGAAAAAATGGAAAATGAAGAGCAACACAAAAAAATTCTTGAATCTATGGTGCATTTCAATTAAAGACTACAAAAAAATGCCTTGTCTTTCGACAGCTATTCCAACTTTGTATTGATATTTTTTAGGAAAATAAGCCGTAATAACGATAGAACTGGTCAAGACCAACAGAAGTTACGGTTCAAAATTTCGATTGGTGAAAAATTGATCGAGTGTAATTTAAACCAACCAGCCTTTTTGTATGGAAATATATGGAGCCAGGCACATTTTGGCCGAAAAGGAGCATCATGTATATCTGTTTCTTTGTATGCAGCACTTATCCGTATGAACTTTTCCATTGTATCCGGATTATTCAGGATGTTTAACCTATTTACCAGATAAAAAACGTAAGTAAAAATAATTTAACGTCAACATTACGTGGGTTTAACTGAAATAACCGAGGCGTTTAATAGTTAAACGTCTCCTCCTGAGGATGGCCGATCTGTAGTCTTTAGATGAAATGCACCATATGAACATGGGTCCGGATAGAAGAGAAAACAACGAATCCAATCGCAGTGCTTTCCCACCAAAATTCCACCAATCATAGATGGCCGTCACGTTTGAATATTTAATACATTGTTTCATATAAAATCGTTATCCGGATAGCCGGTTACGATAATACCACTGTATCTGTATGACTGCAACTTCATGACGCTGCAGTCGTGCCTACAAGAAGTGATCAAGGATGCCGGTGACAACAACTACAAGATCCCACACATGGGAAAGAAGTTGGCCTGGCTCCTTCGAGACTGTCGCATGCGACCCTCCAGTGTTCAATGACGGCTGCACCCGACTTGGTGAAGAAGACATCGACAAGAGACTCCAAGACCTATCTCAAGAAATTGCGGAGGCCTTGGAAATGGCGAAAATTTGCAACCTGCTTGAGGACATGGGATTGTGACATAATTAAATACACTTTCTTGCATACTTAATCATAAATATTTTTTTGACACCTCTGCGTCAAAATTTGTTCGATATATTTCTGAACGTCAAGTTTTGCGATTGTTTGATTTATTTCGGAACAGAGGAAGTACTTTCTAAGCATTTGTACTCACATTTTGATAACCAATTTAGGAAAACTTTTTTATCTTAAAGTATGTATGCGTCCGAGCATTATTGATATTCTGTGTTTAGGGTAAGCGGTTACAACAGGTTTCATATAATTGTACAAGGGTATGTTTTATAGCGTTATTTTTCTGTTGTGGAAGGATGTTCACTGAGTTGAACACTCGACAAAACCTCAGGTCCAACCCAATGTGGCCCGTGTCGACTAGTGTACTGTACTTCAAACCCAATCTTGAATGACTGTTACCAATGGCTTCTACGCCGTCTTTGCATTTCATTCACGTGACGGAACGGTCAGCATTATATGACAGAGGCTTGACCCGAACAAATAAAGAGGTGTGATTGGGCAATACAAAGTTGTCCTAAATTGGTTAAGTTATCTTACAGTTAAACTGGTTTTTTACGTTACTAATTCTCAATAACGTTAGTATGGACTTAGGAACCACGGGCGATCAATATGCCGGTTCTAATCAGGGAACACGAAACAAACTTTCGTCAAGCCAACATAAACTACACCTTTTTTCTATTGACTTGGGACTTTTTGCAACGTTGTTGGCTTGGCGCTCATTCGAAAGGGCGATGTGTCCATTCATTAGTGCAGCAACACCCTTTGAAATGTACCATACTACCAATGGAAATGGCTCCACTACCCAACAATGTGCCAAGTAGCATTTCGAATCTGCCGTGTTTGAAGTCTTATCTTATATAACTCCGGAGTAATGTTCAAGTCAAATGCATCGAATCTAGTGCCATCGATTCCGCCACCCTCTATACTTCGAATGTCTGAAACACTCCTCGAAAGCAACAGTGTGTGGAGATTACGTTATATCTTTGTGGCTACAAAGGCGCTCCAGGCTGGCATGTATGCCACCTTGAGCGGCACACGGGCGTGAGGTTCGACTGGAGAAAGTCGAAACCCATCGCACGTCTCCTTGTCTGGCACCAATGCAATGTAGCAGCATTTCCATTCCGGAAAGTGCGACGCATACCCTTCCAGCGCCTCCACATCGATGTTGTCGGTGTTACGTGTGGTGATCTGGATCAAAGCCACCCATTCGTGCCCACCAATGGTCAGTTTGGCAACACAGTCGATGGTCGGCAAACTGCAAGTGTACGGACACCAGTAGTCCACGGGCGAACTCGCCATACCGACCATGGCTGCATCGCACTCGACAGTGTTCTTGCCACTGGTCTCCGGCGCCTTGGCCTCAAACGTCTCGTCAGCGTACACACTGGCGACACCCGCCGTGGGCTTGGGCTGGTACTCGAGCACTTTCAGGTCGATCTTGTTGTGTTGCAGGGCAAGGTTGTGCACGTAATTCTCAAACGCGATGCCCTTCAACGCGCCGTCTCCAAGGCTGTCGCTCGTCAACCATTTGGCTTGGAATTCGCTTGGCGGGTACTCCGACGTGGTCGCATAAATCCGCTGGTCAAATTTCATGTATTTGTTCAGCATGGTCCCATCGAAATTCGAATCCGTGACTGGGTCCGTTGGCTGGTTTCCTGCCATTCCAATCGTGTCAACTTGATGCGACGACGTAGCTACGTGCTGATATTCGAGATATCTGGCCGTGCCGAAACGATCGACGCAATAGTCATGTCGACTGCTTGCTTGACGTTTTGCTGAGGCATCAAAAAGTGCCGCAAGTTTGCACCCGAGTAGAAGTATTCGTCGTTGATTGCAGGTTCGTCCCAACCCTCGTGGCGGCCAATGGCAATCAAATCCGGCTTGGACCAAAATGTCCTCATAGTGAGGCATGTCGTCGCTCTTAAATCGATACCGGATGGACGTCGCAAGCAGCTGAAACTCTTGCAGACCGTGCTGGAAAACGAAGGCTTTGTCGAATCCGTTCAGGTACAGAGCAAACCCCTTGTAACGCCGGCGAACGGACTCGAGATCTTCGATCGTGGCATCATCTTTTCGCCAATACTTCGAGTTTACTGGGTCCAGACACAACATGGAAGTTCCTAGCCCCTCTCGACACCGAATCAACATGACGGGTGTTTTGACACACAAGGCCTTGTAGAACGCCAGCAGCACCACAAGCGTGCTCTTGCCAACCCCAGGCGACCCTTTCAGCACAACGAACAACGGAGCTAGCGCGTTGCAAGTCTTGATGGCGTCCATTGCCGCCTGTCGCATGAAAAACCACTTGGGGAAATCCGGCTCGATGAGGTGAATGCCCAGTCCAACGCCACCACCAACTTCTGGGAGGGGAAGAGTCCCAGTGCCCCCTGAATCGATGCGATCACATCAGGAGGGATGGACGTCGCGCCTTGCACGCCTTTGACTGCCTCCGTGCTCGACACCTTGTGCTTCTTCTGTGGACGCACTTCATCCCATCGCGCGGATGGAACACGCACCAAGACATGGACTACGTTTCTGGGTGGCACTTCCATGCCAAAATGTTTGTGATAGTTGAGCCCCATCGCGGCGAGCATCCGGTTGGAAGGGTTCAGGTACTTCGAGATATCTTCGTCCAAATGGCCGTTGGATAGTCTAACCAACGTGGCAGCGTCGCCTGGCAACCACTCGCCATCGGCCAACTTCGCCAAGTAGAGCGTCAGCTCATGCTCAGGAAATGTGTACTGCATCTCCTTCGCTATCTTCGTTCTCAATTGAACCACCGAAGCACTCGCATGAACCTCCACCTCCATCTTGCTGCCGTCGTTCACAATGGTGCAGCACAATGTTAACGACATCGTCGCAAATTCGAAACTGACAACTGCTAAATCTCTGGCCAATCTTTGGTCCAATGTTTTTATGGAGGTTTGTGTTTACGTTGAAGTTCAGTGGGAAATCGAATTATTTTTCCATAATTCACCTTCAAGTAATATTTGAAGCAATGCTTTATTAGTATTATTAATATGTTACTTGGTTTTTAAAATTCACAATGTCAATGTCAAGTCCATTAAAATTACCGATTTGAGCCGTCTTTCGAAAGTCAGTGCAAACACCAGTCGGAATTGATGTGGAGAAAAGAAATAATTTACGTCAAATTTATGCCAATCACAATTGAAGTCGGATAATCTGTCACAACAATTGAGCCAATGAACAGTAAAAGTCGTACCTGACAATGTTACGGAACTGAGTAACTACGTACTGTAACGCTACGTGTAACCTGAGTCAAAGTAAATCTGAATATCCAACTGCCACCACTTTATCCGAAGGTGATCCGGATAAACCGCACAATCACATTTCATCTTTTTGACATGACTCGTCATGTAGTGTTCCCGTCGTGGTACGACCGCCTTTTGGGGACGCAGATGTCCGATGGCGGCGTGCGGGGTGTCCTTGTGGCACACTCCGACGCTACCATGTACGGACTCAAGTTCTCGGGATCGAAAAAGCAGGCATTGGTCACTGTGGAACAAGCCCTGCGCGCCAGACGCATTCAACTCGACGGTAGAACTAACTCCCTTGATTGTGTACATGCTGTGAACGGATGTCTAGGGTGCAGCATCACATTGGGAGATCGTGGTACTGGCATTCTACGCACTCTTCAAGGTCCGACGGACCTGTCGTCGTCGCCATCGACTGCCGGCACGTGCATGGTCGAGTGGACGACAGCCACCACGCCACCGTCGGAAGTGCCGTTTACAGACGTGTTGGACCATGTCGTGGATGCGTTCCTGGGAGTGTCCCTGCAGAAAACCTACGACTACGGAATCACGTACACATTGACATTGGCCAAACCCATTGTTTACCAAGGCGCCCTCCACTACCAAGCCAACTTTCACGATGAAGACGATGTAGACTTTCTGTCCAAGGAGTACGTGCTGCAGGCGTTGGATCCAGATGTACGGCTACTTGTGGACCTCTTCCATCCTCCTCTCACGCGCTCGCACTAGGACATGCGCGAAGTGGTGGTGCCCGTTGAAGACATGATGGCGCCACCTCCCGTCGACAGGCCGCCCATCGTTCACGTGCGCTTCCATAGCCAGAGCCTCCACATGACCCTCGGCCAAACCACGGACGGCCCCATATCTCAGCGCCACGTGTGCGTGTACGAACTCCTCCCCACTGCCGACGGCTCGCAGGGCGAAGCGTCGGCTAGCGGTCTCGTGGAGATCGGCGACATGGTCGTCCGCATCAACGGCACCTCTGTCGCAGGTTTCGACGTGCACCGTATCGCAACAATCATCAGCCAAACCCCCCGGCCCATTCAGCTGTCGTTCCAAAAGAAGCGCGACCCGGGGCGGTCGTTTCCGGAAACCAAAGGCCACAGTTGTGTCCTCCCCTTTGTCACACATTCCACGTCGCCCCTCGAGCGCGCACTCGCCACGGCCAACGGCTGGTCCGCCCTCCTGCTCGACCTCCGGGAAGCCATCGCCAGCGGCCACAACGTCGGCGTCGACGGCAGCGACGTTGTCTTCTCTACCGACGAGTCGACCCCCCCGGTCTTCCGCCTACCCGCGTCAACATGCACGGGGTTCCGCAGCCGGGTCAAGTCGTCTGCCGACGCGGCGCCGCTGACGCTGGGGACAGTCGCCATGTACGTCCGGCATCGCCATTTGAGCTACGCCGAGTACGCAAGGCGGTGCCGCGCCGCAGGTTCCGTCGGCGTCTTGTCCATCGTCGACATCAACGCACTGCTGCCGTTTCTAAACGGCCGCGACGACCCGCCTCGCCCCCCCCAGGCACTTGGTTCAAATCATCCCATCCGCCCCCACAGCCCGGATAAAGGCAGCACACGTACAAAAACGGGTGGACACGAGAGGATTGTGAACAACGACGCTGCGATGTCCCCCACATCCAGCAAGCCCGTGGCCGCCGTCCCTGTGACGCCCACCAAAGGAGAAGGAGGTATGATTAGCAAGGGGTGTAGTAGTAGTAGTACTAGCAGTGACGACGACGAGTGCCTCGTCGTCCGCCCGCCCAAGAAACTGCGACACGGGTCGACCCTCGACGACCAGGCACAAACCAAGCCCTTGCAGCCCGTGTCACAGGCATCATCGTGTGACCGAGTGGTGACGCTGACCGTGCACGACCGAAACCTCGGGATTTCCATGAGCGAAGGCAAACCATACCCGATCGTGAATGCATTAACTCCGGGGGGACCCGTGGAAGCATCGGGGCTCGTGGCCGTGGGCGCACAACTGACGCACGTCCGTACGACCCACGTCGCTCGGGCGACGGTCGTGGGCGTGGTGGACCTGATCCGGATCATCCCCCGGCCAGCCACGTTCACGTTTATTAACCCCCCGACGGTACTGCCGTCCACCCCGAAACCCCCGACCAAGCGGACTGTCAAGGGCCCTCGAAACCAAAGGTGATTTTACGAACACTCAAACCATGGGAGTTTAGAGTAACGTACTTACTGTCTATATGTATATACTGGTCATTCAAGATAACATAATACTGTAGCCAAAACATACTTGAGGTGTTGGAAGACGCAAGCAACTGGGAATATACCCCCATATTGATAGAGTTAGTTGACTACAGTCATCCTGTTGTGCTTTTCCGTCAAATTTGAGGGGATGGTTGAAATCGCCAACAAATAGAGAAGTATGATTGGCTAAAAAGAATTAAGGTTGCAATATGATTGGCTAAAAAGGTTAAATGTTGTCGCTGGTACAAAGATACCTCTTAGACTTGGTTATGCATAAGATTTCAAAGGTCTAGCGATAGTTTTGGTGCTTAATTCTACCAATTCAAAAGTTTGAGTAGAATAAATACATCATACGTACATACAAATACACTGTAGTACATATTGGACAAGCCAATCTTGCAACAGGTTTGTTTCGCCCTGATTCAAAGTGCTGTTACTAGTATGAATGAGTATCAAGACTATTGTCTAAATCACGTGGTTTTATATGTATGTATATCTTTTCTGGCCAGATTCTTGGTTCCGTGTGAAACCAACTAGTACTCCATTTTATAGCCGTGTTAGACGCGCTGGAAGGACGCTTGCAGGTTGGCAAACACGACTCGGACGTCGTGCTCGGCGTGCTGGGCGGCAAAGACGGACGTCGCGAGCCCCTCGAGCAGCGGGTCGAGCGCCACTCGAAAGTCACGACCGACCGACTGCATGCGGGCCAGCGTACTCGCGTACCAGTTGTCTTTGAACGTCGTGCCATCCTTGTCGCACTGCGCCTTGTGCGCTGCAATCACCCGCGACAGGCCCTGCCATTCCACACCATTCCCATGATATATATATATATATATCAACACGAATATGGATATATATATATATATAAATTGCAGCAAGGCAGTCAAAACCCAAGAGAATCCAACACACACTTTCAACACAATGCCAGCTTGATGGATCGGAACAGTACAATCGTGAAGCACCCTGAACTTCGTCATATGAAATGAATGTAGTGTGCGGTGATGGTTGAACAAGTCAAAAACGAGATACAATGTGACAGATCTAAAGCTCCTCGATTCATAGTTTGATTAGATGTCAATAAATATATATATATACACACAATCAGCTCAACGAATATATATATATATATAAACGTACTTCAAACACGGCGACGAAGAGGTCCTCGACCGAGCCGGCCCACGCGTCGTCCACAGCATTCGGCGTCGATTTGGCTGCTTGGGTTTCCAGGGCATAGCGCACCGTGTTGTCTAGAATCTCCCACACGTACGGCCTATATATATATATGATGCGTAAATAGTCGTGAGAAGTGGAGATATATAGTATGTGCTACAGATATTTCCCAATATTGCGTGATTATTAAAACCGCTCCCAAATCTCGCCGCGAAATTTCATTGGCTTTCCCGATTCCGCAGAAAGCACAAAGTAAAAAGAAAAAAGTAAAAATAATGTAGCCAATCAACGACAAGCATATTAATCAGATTGACCAATCGGGGCGATTCATGATCGGTTTGGTCGCCTTGATTCGACTGAAAGGGTCGGGAAAATCATACCAAATCCATACCATATATATATATATATATATATATATATATACGAGTGTCGGTCAAGGGAAGGAGAATGTTGGTGTTGGATACACGTACCAACTGTACTGTTGGACGGCGTCCGCGCCAAACAACCACGTGACGACCGCGACCGGCGTGAGGACGTGGTGACGCAACAAGATGCTCAGAATCAGAATCACATGCTGCGGCGACTGCTCCCAGACGCTGCTCACGGCGGCGATCACCACGACCTGACGCTCCACGTCGGCGTCGATTGCGGCCACGAGGACCCCCACGTACTTGTCCAGAAGCGTACGAAAGTGCGTGAACGTGGCGGATCCGGCGTCGAGGATGGCCGCCACGACCATCTCCAGCACCACGTGGGGGGCTCCGTCGTGGGCGGCGGAAGTGTCGTCGATCCACGCTTGGACGGCGGCAGCCTCCTCCCGCGCCTTGATCTTGCCAAACACCTGCTCGTACTGCGACCGAAGCACGCCAGTCGCTGCATCACTCGAGTCGTCGTCCTGTGCAATATCGATTAATATAACCAACTCATCTAGATATTTCGCAGTATGGTGCTTTTCAGTCAAATTTGCCTATTTTGGGGGATTGATGAAATCGCCAATGAATCGAGCAAACGAGTATGATTGGCTATAAAGAATGAATAAGGTTGCAATTTGATTGGCTAATAAGATTGATTGAAACAAAGATACCTCTATAGTTTTATATATTTAAATTTCGAAGGGCCGGCGATTGTTCGCCAGAGGAAATTATGAGTACAACACACAATACATGTTAAAATCAAACCACGTCACAGAATGATTCCACATCAGAATATACCACGTCACACATTGGTTCACATCACGAGCATGGCATCTTACGGCACTGCTTTCGGCCTGGCGAAAGCGGATAACGTGGACGGGCACGGGGGGCAGCAGCATGTGAAACGTTTCGGGGAGGACCGACTGCATGTGTTGGCGGTAGCTCAAGCGGACGCAGCGCTCGATCACGGCCGACACGAACAGCCTCTGGGCGTCGTCGGCCTGGGCGTCCAGCACGTAGTTCCAGTGCGTCCAGGGCCATTTGTACTCAAAGTTACTTAGAAACAGCGCAAACAGCTTGACGAACGCGTCCACGGCGTGCATGTGCATGAGCGGAATGCGGCGGAAGAGCAGCTCCACGAGGATCGCAAACGCCGACTGGATCGTCTTACTCTCGTGTTTGAGCAAATGAAACAGCACCGCGCCGCCGTACCCGACCATGTTGGCACACGGCGGCGCACTCACGACCGCCACGAGCAGCGACTCGACGAGAATGTATTCGGCCTGGAGGTTCCACCGGCCGTTGAGCGCGCGACACGTGGCCAGCAGCTGCTTGGCGGCTTCAGCCGGATTCGGCCGGAACGAATCGACGATGTCTTCAAAGTACGAACGCGCAATCACGTACGACGGAAGGTGCATGTTGCCGATGGCGCTGCCGATGGGCCCGCTGTCGCCATCCAAAATGCGGTACACGGCCGCGTACGGCGGCACTTTTGATGCAAATTGAGTCGGCGACGGAAACAAGTCGAAGGAAACGACCGACGGCAGCGGAGCCGACTCGGTCTTGCGCACCACGGGCACAAAGTTGAGCAGCGGGTACAGAAGCGACTGAATCTTCCACTGAGAGTGAAACAGAGTCGACGTGTCAGCGGCGTCGGCGGACGGAGGTGCGGGGGGCGCCTGCTTGGCCGCCGTCACCAGCGACTGCACGGCATTCCACACGACATTGAGTGGATCCAGCGTCTACACACGTCCAAGACAATATGAGAGCGAATTGTATACCCCGAAACCCCGAAACCCCGAAACCCCGGATTCCGCAGAATGCACGAACAAATAATATTAATGTAGCCAATCAGCGAAGAGTAGTTTCAGAATGACCAATCAGAGCAACTCGTGATCGGTTTGGTCGGCGTGATTCGGTCCGGAAATTCGTACCAAATCAATAATATATATATATATGTATGGCTATAAAAATATATTAATATTTGACGATTTTTTTTAAATATTCGAATTGTATCATATTGATTTCAGATGATATTACATTGTATCATTATATTCGCGTTTGGGTACATTGCAAGGTGCACATCAATGACATATCACATATCCACTTTTGACATAATAATGACAAATATGCACTTTGCAATGACCATACCTTGGCATACGCGTGGAGATGGTCCTTGTCTTCGGGGTCGACGAGCAGATTCAGTCGAATGCGCTGCAGTAGCCACGTGTTCCCCGGCACGAGTCGGTTCGAATCGTCCTGGACATCGCGGGATGCAATGTACGCGTCCGACTGCGCGAGCAGCGCATCCAGCGGGTCCGCCGCCGCCACAACCAGTGTATGGCCACACTACCCAACACGATCAAACCAAGATGAGCCAATATATATATATATATATATATATTAGGCAAAGCAGTCTATAGCCACATTAGCCAACATGCAGAAACCAAGATTAGCCATGCAAATATATCTATTAGGCAAAGATGTCTATGGCCACACTAGCCAACAAATTCAAACCAAGAATAACCTTGCATGTTGTCGTATCATAGCGACTAAAACCACACAATCCAAGCTGCTGAATTCAACACCACGGTTAGCCATATATATATATATAATCATAAGGTGTACTCTATGTATGGTACGACATACATGGAGAACAGTATCGAGGACGAGGTGCGCAAAGAAGTCTTTGACGGCGTTGGCCGTTTGGACAGAGCGCGCGGTCGTGTTTTGGTCGTGGCTGATGGGCGTGCACATGCTCTGGAAGGTCGCGAGAAGGGCGACCATGTCCGGGGCCAGGATCATCTTGGTCGTGGTCAAGTTGCCAATGAAGCGGACGAGGGACTTGATGCGGAGGAATTGGACGGGCACTTCGCCGGCGGGTTTGGGCGGTGACGTGGCGGCGGCGTCGTCCGTGGCCCACCACGCCAAGTCTGCCTGGATCGTCTGCAGCGCCAGCTCCACGACCTTTTTGCCGAACACGGCGTTCTTCTCGTTCAGGAGCGTCGTGAGCATGCCGTACCACTCGGTCTTGGCGCTCAGCCGACCGGCGCACGTGACCACAAGCGCGGCGATCTCCTGTGCCTGGAACATCAGCTGCTCGCCCAACCAATCGCCGCAGCGCGTCAACACGTCACGCACGGCCTGCGAGTCGTTGACGTTGACGCTGTCGCCCAACGAAATCACGCGACGACGGAGTTCCAACGCATCGTCATCGCCGCTGCGGTGGTGATACTGGTCGCGGTAGTTGTCTCGGCCACGATAGTTGTCGTTGCGTGAATAGTTGCGGTCGCGGGAATTGTAGTCGTTCTGTCGATGGCGCTTGCTGCCGTCGTTGTACCCGCCACCGCCGCCATACTGCATGTTGTCGTCCGAGCGTTTCCGACGACGGTTGCCGTCATTGTAGCCACCACCGCTGTTGCCGCGGTCATAGTTGCCGCCGCTACGTCCACTATCCCGATTGTAGTCTGCCATTGTCAAACGAATCGTTTCGCTCTCTCGCTGCTGTTCCGCTGTCGAGAGTTTTTGTGGTGTTGTGGTTATTGGTGTCCTCTAAAACCTTATTGCTTGAGTGTATGTATTATCAGAGGGTATCGGTTTTGGCGTCTCAACAGCAGAAATCTATAAATAATATCCACACCAAATATTTGCCTGCAACAGTATTTCCGAGCATGCGGCGACATCTTCTATGGCTTGGACGGGGCAACGTCAAATAATAAATAATAATAAAATAAATGGCAATAACGTTGCCACTTACTACGTAGTAGAGTATGTTGTATGTATATGGCGTAAAATCCCGCTTTATATGCTTGACTCCAAGTATCTGTGTGGTTTTACTATTAATTCCATTAATATATCTCGACCAAGTAGTCGACCAATCAAATACTTGAAATATAATGTGCCGGATATTAATTCCTCATGGTCGTAGTAGCTAAAGAACGAGAGTAACTCTGTGATAGTAGTATACTAGTATAGCCGAACGTTTTAATTCACTTTGGACTCGGCACCAATCTGGTTGTCAGCAGCAGCCGTGGCGGCCACAGACAACTCGCGAAGTTTCAGTTTGGTCTCCTACATGAATGTGACTCCAAAATGCAGTCAGTTAATTTGGCAGCCACCTCGTTTGTACGCAGGGCCAGGCTGAGACAATCGTGGCGATGCTTGAGCATGTCCACAAACAGCAGTCGCTTGTACGAAGTGTACCCCAGCAGACTCGCGGGAAAGATGCTACGTCCATGGATTTCCAAGATATGAGGCCATATATTGTCAGATCATAATTAAAGAACCGCCTGAGCCAATCAAATCACGTCATGTCAAATTTCTGCCAATCCAAACGTTTGATTCATCCGCATTGGGCAAAACCAATACTATATACCAATCTTTGTATGCATAGTGTGTACAAGCCAAACGTTTGACTTCATCCGCATTGGGCAAAACCAATACTATATACTAATCTTTGTATGCATCGTGTGTACAAGGAGGTTATAATTAGGATCAAATCGATTCAATAGCTATGATGACTCTCAAATTGGGGTAAAAGGACAATATGACACAAAGAAATCAACGTACATATGAAGAGCCATGACCAGCTCAAACGGAGTCGCTTGGGAAAGCAGCGTGAGGCGGGGGTCGTAGCTGAAGAAGCGCACCGACACTTCAAATACCAGGGTCTGCCAAACAACATACATACATTCCCATATTGACGTTTTGGCGAGTGTTTGATATCGTACCACCAGCAGCGCTGCGACCGCCAAGTCGCGACCAGATTGGTACTTGCGACCTGCTGTGGCGATGAATCTATGTAAGTCAGAAGGCATGGTTGGGCTTCCTGAGGAACGAACACTCTGGACATGCATGAGACTTACACCCCTACGGCCCACAACATGTAGAACAAGGCGACGTTGAACAGCATGTCCTTTTGCAGCTGCACTTGAAAGTCCGGGCCCCATCCGTCGTGCGCTCGGCGGACATGGGGGTCGTACAAGATCTACATGGAAGGAGGTGAGGTGGAGGGGAGACGCTGAAGGGCGTACGTCATATGCGGCGTCGACTTGTGTCCATTCTTCAGGGGATAGCTTTCCGTCCACGTAGCGTTGCTTCAAGGCTGCGTACACCTGCGCCCAGCTATATGCGTCGCCATATCGACTAACCTACAACAAGTCGCGTGAGAAATGCAAGGTGGTGGAGGAGCCACATACGCCCAAAAGTCGATAGGGGCTTTGAGACTGGATGCGTCCACGGACAATCTAAGGACGTAGCTGCAGTAGACGAAATGGTGGGGGGTGTTTACGAGTGGCAAGAACATCGAGAACAGCGTGAAGGCTGCGATCCACGCCATGACTTGACCAGAAGAGATACGCTTGCCACGAGACTCGAGGTACTTCACCAGCAACGAGTGCATTGGTGCGATGAAGCACAAGTAGTACACCAACCACATGCAGTCCTCCTTCGCTTCGGTCCACACCTGCATGATGACGATCAAAATGTCAAGGTTGACGGCGATTATATCCGGATGTGCTGCCCTTACTACGGATAAAGTCGAACCAATCACATCGTACGGAGCGAGATCTTTTAAGAACAGTCACGCCCATCCTGCTGTATTAGTTAGCTTCAATCCACCCTAGCTGGCTACAGTAACGCGGCCACCGTACGTTCGCATAGCATTAGCAGCCCAGGATGCGATTTCGTCGACGCAATGTACTTGATCTGTCTCAACGCCCCAGCTCGAATCAAAATAGGCTTGTACATGCCTACGAACGTCGATTAACGACATTCTGGCTGGTGGTGGGGTGGTTACCAGGCATCGCCAAGAGCTCGAGCACGCGAACGCATTGCTCTAAAACTGGGATGACTTTCGGGAACTGCGTCAGCGACGACACTGCAAACGTGTGGACACTCGCTTTCATGAGCATTTGAACTCGAGCAGGATGAGTGACAATGCCGCCTAACGTTACATTCACATTGTACTTGATTCAGGCGGAAGAGGTCCCCCGCGTACATGTGGACGAGGTTGTGACATTAGTCATGATGGCTACATGGCTAAAGATCACAGCCGACACGAACGACAGGAACGCTGCCGACGACGCACCGCCGCCGCCACTTCGCCGTTGAGATACCGCGGTAATGACATCTTCAAATATCGTGACCAAATGGAATGGCATTTCCTTGGCACAAAACACGTCCTTGGCAGGTTCTACACATTATACGTTCCCACGTCACATACTATTTAGTAGTATATCTGCTGTGGTACTGTGGTAGTGTCGATACATATATGCATCCCATGATTTGCATCATGGAGACAGATATATTTATTTTGATTGGGCCATATAAATATAGATATATCGTCACCGTTATCACGCAGAGTGACTTCCAACGTTCGTAGCAGGTGGTACTCGGTGTCGACATCGGCCACATGTGCCGCCAAGCACGCCCGCACACGATCCACACACCCCCACGTCAAGTAGCTGTGTTGGGCTTTGGCTACCCACCCAGCATAACCATATTGTTACAACGATTCAGCCCTGGGAATGTAACTGGTCCAACATCAAAACGAGATGATTGACGGTATATACACCCGAGACCGCACAACGAGAATGCCACGTCATGTTGAAGTCGTACGTGGGGATGCCACGTGGAGTTGAAAGAGCACTTGAGCTAGGGCGGTGACGACCGCCGCATCCTTGAAAAATGAGTGCAGGCCCATGGAGAAGAGCTGGGGAAGGTCCGACTTGAGGGCGCGGTCGGCCGTCCCAGCTGCAAGAAGTAGCGCAACAAGTAAGCCATAGATGGCATCTATGTATCTATACAAACATCGTACCATTCTTGTACACGAGGTTGGCTACAGTTTGAGCTGCCCCAATGTATACGGAGGACAGCTGGTTGTTTGTTTGCATGGCAACGCAGAGCATGTCCAACACGCCGCTTTGTACCATTTCGATCTGGTTGGCTTCTACAACACGACTGAACGCATAAGAAGCGGCCGAGAGGATGGTACCGTGGGCGACACCACTTCGTTCTAGGCACAGCGCCGACGTCAGCGCACACCCCATCTCGAAGAGGTTGACGTTGCCACTGTCGTGCTTCATGGCGTCCACAACGACCTTCCACAGACCAGATGTGACCACGCTGCTATGGTGCGTTCCTCCTAATAATACTTTGTGGTCATACAGTTGCCAATGTCATGGGTCTCACACACCAAGACTGAAGAGGCGCCGCAACAACAGACACAGACACGAGATGATGGTGAAATTGGTCGTGTAAGGCTGCAAACATGAACATAACCGCGGGACGAAGTTGTGGACATGGAGATCCTTGACGGAGGTGGGCGTGTCACGCAAATGCCGGGCGATCTCCGTGAGACAGCGCTTCACAGCATACACATCGAATTGGTACTGTTCGAGAAGCAACAGCACGTCCAAGGCACTTTCGCGATAGAACAGCATGTGCACAAGTGACGATGGCTTACTGAAATGTTCGACCAACGAAGGAGAAACCGCCATGCGTATGTGTGCGTTGTGCTCATCCGACCGCCTTGCGTGTCACGCGATCACAAGAAAGACGGCGATGCTGTCATTGCTACTGTAGATCGTCTCGAACACTGCTATTCCATCTACCAATGCATAGGAAGGTTAGATGTACGTGGCAACCTCCATGTTACTAGGCGAAACGACACTTGTCATTGATATTTAAAACATATTGCATTATAAATTCATTTTTAAATACATTTCAAATCTTCGTCACAGTGCTGCCTTTTGCAGTGTATTTGGGTCCAAGGGATAATGTACCGTAGCGTTATGCGGCTTATACCAGTCTTGCTAGAAGTGCGAACGGCACAATTGTGCGTATACTGTACTACTAAGTACAATTGTACATATACTGTACGTAGTAAGTACTCCTAGTACAATCTACCCATTCGACTCAACGAATACTATGTTTTAAATGCATTTAAAATCGATCGCCTAGCGCGACACTGTGTTTTTCGAACCGCGAGATTTGGCGTTTCAACGCCATCTTTTTTTTCGAAATCCTTAGATGTGCATCATCCGGATATTTACCGAATTTTCGGATTACTCATCGTTTGTATAGGGGACGGCGATTTGGCAAGAAAGATCGTGGTATCCGGATAAAGTCAGGTGTGTCCCTTCGCCTGGAGGCATCGCATCTTCCGTTACATCAAGGAGCAACCGACCCTTAAGCATTCCTCAACTTGACGGCAGCTCCAGACAACATGATGAGTCCGATGACGCCGACAAACAACGACGACCTCGACAGTAAGAGAGGAGTTGGCGGTACGGCATACGAACGACGCGCGTGGACTCGGAAAGAGGACGACGCGATCATTCGACTCGTGGAGGAGTACGGGACAAAGAGATGGTCCGTGATCTCAGATCATTTGAACAATGAAAACTATGGCAACGAGCGCACCGGCAAGCAATGCCGCACTCGGTACGACCTCGCTCGAGTCTAGGGAAAGCGGCTCATGACGACTTGTAGGTGGCTGAACCATCTGGATCCGTCCATCAAAAAGGATCCGTGGACTACAGAGGAAGAAAGCATCATCGAAGATGCGCAGAATAGATTGGGAAACAAGTGGGCAGAGATCTCCAAGCTGTTACCTGGCAGGTACGAACCAACCCTTCCTCGTTTCGATCGCGGTTCACATCGACATGTAGAACCGACAACGCGATCAAAAATCACTGGTACTCGTCCATGCGCCGCACCATGCGACGCATCGCCAAACAAGTTAACAAGACGACACCAACCAGCATGAATGGAAGCTGCGGCAATGGACCGTCGACACGCCCTTCCTCGCGGCAGTCGTCGTCATCATCGCCCATGTTGGATGACATGGGATCGAACCACGAGGACATGTCGCAACATCACGCGCCGTCTGCTCCTGTCGCTTCGTCCCTCGCGTAAGCTCCATGACACGTTGTTCACAATGAATCTTACGTGGACCTACTTAGCGCCCGTGCATCATCGTTGTCCCATGGCGTATCTCCAAAACTAGCATCTGCCTTCCGCGAGTGCTACAATGTCCTTCTTCACAATAAAGAGAACCCGAACAATCTTCATGGCTCTCCGTCTGCGCAAACCAACCCAAATGCCGCCATGACGGCAACCCCACCAAAAAAAAACCTGTCGAAGCGGAAGCGCAAGGATCTAAGGGTAGTTACGGGCTCGTCTATCGAGGGAGGCATGTTCATGCCTTCCACACCGCGACGCTTGCATCACACACAACTCCTTCTCACGCTCCTCAGCAATGCGTCTGAAGACCCAATGACCAAGTGCGCAAACGCCAAGCGAAAGAAGCGCAGTACCCCACTGCACGCCAACTCGTCGTACTCGGCCTCTCATGCCGCCACGGCGAATGCGACGTCGTTCCCACTCTCCCGCAGCTCCGACACGTCCATGGCTCTCGCGGATCACTTCGCCTTCCATGACATCGAAAGTCCGTTCCAAGCATTTGAATCGCTCGATTTCGATTTGAACGAGGTAAAAATAGTGTCCTTCCGGATAACGCAGTTGTCTTATCCGAATGTACCTCGATTTGTAGCATGTCGCGCCAGATTCCCTGTTCCACGGATCGGCCACCACGCCCACGCATAGCGGCATCACGCCAACAGCGGCGGCCACGGCTCCGTCCATGCCAGCTCCCCCGCCATTGTCTTTGTACAGCTTGCGCCGGTCCCCACACATGGCGTCCCTCTTGAAAGCCAACGCCAAGTTCTCGTTTGACGACATCGACCTATCTTCCGAGATGGAACAGTCGTCCCTCGACTTCTACATGAACATGGACTCGCTTCCTACGGTGCTGCGTCGATCTCCCCGCCTCCGGACGGATGTGTCCGTGGCGTTTCCGTCCCCGTCGTCTGCCGCGACCCCACCTTCGTCTTCAATGTCCATGATGAAAAAGTCGGCGTTCCATCCCCCCACGATTGACGTGGCCCTCGGACTCCAACACGACACGTTTGGCTTCGACAACTCCATGACACCGTCGTTGACAAGTCCCCAACTCAGTCAATGGCTCGACGGATCGCCCCGCGGATTTGCCGCCGCCGTCTAAGCTCAGTGTGTTGCGTTCTGTTATTTTATTTTGTCCCTAGATAATACTATTTGTCCACCTATTAATAATACTGCGTTATAATAATAATGATAACCATCGGTACAGCTCCAGAACATTATGAACGTTAGACATACGATGATCCAAATATGTACATGGACAAACCAACAACTGGAGTGTTCTTGATGGCGTCATTCGAAGCTTATGTGAGGCGTTATCTATGAGATAGTTCGCCGGCAACTTCACGCCACCACCAACAACACTACCAGGACTATAGCAGCCAGGAAGTATCGATATGCAAATTGTGTGGGATACCCGCAGAGGTGAAGTACTCAATAGTAACAATCAATTTAAGAGCTTCAATCAATTTAAGATAAAATGTGCATGAGCCAATGAATAGACGCGAAATTTTCTTGAGCCAATGCAACGACGCAAAATAACCTAACCACACAAATTATATGCAAAGAGGTATACGTTATTCAAGATAAACCTATGCGTCCTAGATTGATTGTTAAAAGTAGATCAAACTTGCTTGGGTTTTGTTGATTTAGTCATTGTAAATACACCGAAACCCAATATAATTGGTATGAGGTTGTTCCCCATGAATTCCACTATCATACAATCTCCAAGTTTCAGAGGTCGAAAATGTTGTATGGTTCAAGCAAATAATTCAACGAAAAAAGATATTTTTAAACCTAACCAAAAAGAACTTGGTATAAAATTTATCATCTAAAGACTACAGATCGGCCATCCTCAGGAGGAGACGTTTTACTATTAAACGCCTCGGTTCTTTCAGTTAAACCCACGAAATGTTGACGTTAAATCATAATTAGTTACGTTTTTTACCTGGTAATTAATTACATTGTGAATAATCCGGATACAATGAAAACGTTCGTACGGATAAGTGCTGTATGCAAAGACCAAGATATACTTGATACTCCTTTTCGGCCAAAATGTACCTGGTTCCATATATCTCCGTACAAAATGGCCGGTTGGTTTAAATTCTATTACTCGATCAATTTTTCACCAATCGAAAATCTGAACCGTGACTTCTGTTAGGCTTGTCCAGTTCTATCGTTATTACGATATATTTTTCTAAATAATATCAATACAAAGTTGGAATAGCTGTCGAAAGACAAGGCATTTATTTGTAGTCTTTAGGTGACTTGCACCATATCTTTGAAAGTTCCCTTAACTGTAAATTGATTGTTTACGGTATTGACGAAGTTACGAATTTTCTGAAGCACTTTAGCCCAACCGTACGATATGTAGTCAAGAACAGCGATCAACGTACTACTCCGCGTATTGCGATACAGTAGTATATCAGTCGCATCGACACATTCCAGTCGTTACAACATGCTCAATGTTTGCTTCAACACGAGGGTTTGTTGGGGTTGCACGAGTTGGACGCGTGTGACGACGCCTGGTTCGACACACAGCATGGTCGGGTACTCGTCGTCGGCAAAGTCGCTCAGCCCGTGGGCTTTGTCCGACCAGGGGTTCCATACCACCGCGTCACTTGGGACGGCGCCATTGCCGACGACGTACGCGCGCTTCTCAATGCGAATGGCGCGTGAGGCGCCAAGTTGCACGGTCAGACGCTCGGGGGTGTCCTTGTATACGCTGTCCGTCTCGGTCTCGATCGGCACCGCGTCGCGGGACTCGATAAGGGTTTCCTTGCGAACTTTGCAAGCATATTCCAAGCCGGCGAGGCCGCTGACAGTCACGTTAGGCAAGGCGGAAGTCACCAACGACGGGGAGGCATCAGGGACAAGGAAGTACGTGTGCAATAACGCTTGACATCCCCACGATTCGGTGTCCGTGTTGGTGATGTGCAAAGCCGTCGTGAGGTGGTTCTGCGACAACGTGACAGTGTACAGCAGGCGCACAGCGTGCGGCCAATCGACCAACTGGTGCTTGGTCGTGACGAGGGAAAAGGTCGCAGTCACGGAATCGACAAAGTCCTCTGTGTCCACGAGAGTCCACGTGCTGGTTCGCGCAAAACCATGGGACGGAAGCTTGGATGGCACAAGCCCTGCCCCGAATTGGGGAAACACGAGGGGGATGCCGCCACGAATTGGCTTGGATCCATCCAGGATCGCCTTCTTCGACACGAAGAGCACGTCCGGCGCACCAGCGGACGGACGGAAGGAGGTTACGGTTGCTCCATACAAGTGGACGTCAGCACTAGCACCAGAGCGCTCATGCGTCAAGTGGACGACCGCGGAGGCAGCTGTTGTCGTCGTCGTCACAGGCATCTTGGTTTTACTGACTTGTGATCGGAAGTTTTGGGCGAAATACATTTTAACCAATCAAGTTGTACATACTAATTTGATTGGTTATAATCACGGATTATTATATCAAACAGTACTTCGCCGCCAGTACAGTGAACTCGCAAGTGTTGCACTACACACTTATTTTAGAGTTTGTATGGAGCCATCAATTGTCAGTTTTGGAATTACAGTAAGGTAGTGCATCGAATTCTCGAACACTTTTTTGCAAAAACTGACCTTGATTTTTGTATTGCCATATTTCAGAAAATATAGAACTTCAAGCAAATCGGGAGATACATCCAGAAACTACAATTCCTGAACCTTTTTTTAATGTCCCACACGGCCAGCAAGAAAGACATTTGTGATTTGTAGGAAAATTAATTCAGCCGTCCAAAATTCAAGTGAGAATTCCAAGGAAACCTATTTCTCGGAAAGTTGTTTGACTTCAGTTTTGTATCCATGAATAAAATTTTGAGAAATAACACACAGAATTATAATGAACGTGTTTCAATTCACATTGAGCGCAAAAGTCATTATATTTCTCGCATTTTTATTGCGCAACGACAAAATATTACTAGTACTAGTACTTCTTTCGTTTCGTTGGCTTGGCGGCAGAGGCATGAAGCTGGTCACGAGTATGCCACTCGAGCTCCGTCTGGACTCTCTTTCGGCCTTTCATCTTCGGTGGCAACGTAAGCACTTCATCTCGAGCGTACGTCTTCGTCTTGAGCCACGGCGCATTTCCACGGTCGTCGCTCACAGAGTTTGCCTTTGCCATCGACAGGCGGCGAAGCATTTTGGGCAGCGACAAAGGCCAGATGCCGCAGGTAGAGAAACCATTGACGACTGACTTGTTTTGCTCCTGAACACCGTTGACAGCAGGAAACACGGCATTGAATGCTTCGCCGGCGATATGGATGGCGGCCTGTCGGGGCAGAGTTGTGACGTTCAGCGATTGGAGTCGTTGGGTCACGGCACGGGCGATCGTTTGCTTGAACGTCCGGAACAACGCGACGTCGAGAGCTTACAGCAAATGCGTGGCATTGGGAGGGAGTCGAGCGAGGTAAATCCCATACGCCTCACAAATCGTAAGACTGTTCTCCGACAGATGCGAGGAGCAGTTGTCGAGGACAAGTAAGGCAGGTCGTGCAGCACGTTCTCGCAACTTCCATTCACCAAACGATTCCAACCAACTGTCGAATAGGTCCAAGTTCATGAACCCCTTTGGAGCAGCCGACACCAATGCACCAGGTACAGGGCAGTCGTCAAGTACCCCGCGGGCGCAACTCTTGCCAGGAAGGATGAACGCAGGTGGAACCGGCGTTCCATCGGCAGCCACAGTAGCCACGATGGTGAGGTGGTACGAATCACTCTGCTCACCACGCCACACATTCTTGGACCCACGTATGGCGATGACTTTCTGAGAGCCACCCTTGGTCTTGAAACTTGTCTCATCGACGTTGTAGACGTCCCCCGCCGTGCACTTGAAACCCAGGCACCCCTTGACAAGATCGTAGAAGTACTTCACAATGCCCTCCTTGGTGACACAGTTGCGGGCATGGCTCAACTTTTGAGCAACGCGGGCCGACAAGTCATGATGTCGACTCTCAAAGCGGGCGAACCAGCAACGCCCAAGCGAACAAGCGACTCCAACATGGTATGACATGATGTGGCTGGCTTTGAGAATGACTTCGTAACGCTCGACAGGCCATCCACTGCGTTGCATTGCTTCGATCCAAGACACAAGATCGTCCTCCATGTCCGGTGACATGAACGGCTTAGCACCTCGTTTCTTGATTGTAATCGAACCAGTCTGGGCTTTCATCTTCTGGTACTTGTATA